AACTTTGTTTCGCCTCGCCCGCTCCCAGCAAGCTCCGCGCTCGATTTGACACCGTGGACTGCAGGTTGCTTCACAGTACCTGGCAGCGTGTACATTAATTCGCAATTTTAAATGGGTTGTGTGACAACCATTACCAAGTACTAATTTAAATCACGCAGGCGTTTTGTCGTTTTTATAACTTTACTTGTCTTTCAGTTATATGTCATTGATCAGATTTATTGGTTTTTCATTTCACTTAACGACAGATTGTACACATTTTAGAATAATAGCCACTGACATGTATGATGTAAAAAAGAGTTTAATAAAAAAGAACATATTATTAAAGTTAAAAACAAAATTTGTTATCTTTAAATGATGTAACGAATCCCAAATAAATAATAATGGTGGTTGATATTTTGTAAGAATATAGTACTATTATATGTTGGAAAGAGAGATTGAAAGGGAAGAGTTGTGAATTTTAAGGAGGGGACTTTATAGTTCACAGACAGCTATTACACGTGTAACACCACAAAGGTGGTGCAATTTATTTCCACGTTATCGTTTCTACTGGGAACAGTGTATTCAACTTTGGACCATTAGAAACTCTCCATGTGCAAAATGGAGCTGGGAGGGAGTTGGGGATACATTTAAATTTGGGAGATTTAATTGCTGTACAGCACACTAACAGTTGTTGAATCTCCAGGACGCATAATAAGATAAGGATAAGAATAAGATGTTCCTTTATTGGATCCCCCTTAGGGAGAAATTCAAAATTGGACACAGCCGGCAGTAGGGTGAATGTAGTGCAAGAAGAAAGTACAAACATGGAGGTACAAACTAAGATATCACAAAATAAAATATTTACAAATTATTAAATAGAAAAATATAAGGCTTATAACATGAAAGTATATACACATTATGCAATATGTCAAAGTTAGAATGGTGTGCAAAATATTTGAAGCAGGCTTGGACTTAAAAACTCAACTGTACATGTAGAAATGAAATATAAATAGCTGGGCAAAAGTTTGGTGCGGTTGTAGGTTGGAGTTTAAACCAGTCATGTTAGCGGGGTTGGGGGTAGCTGGGTGCTGTGGCGTTGTGAGCCGATGGCTGATGGTACAAATGAGCTCCAAAGCGCTTTGTTTGAGGCTTCGAGGCTGGGTTGCAGTCCTGTGGCTGCAAAGTGCTCGCTGGCTTTCAGGCTTCCCTCTTCATCCTCTTTTCAGTCACAGCCTCCACACTGTCCCGCTCCATCCCCACCACTTAGCTGGCCTTCCTCACCAGCTTGCTCAGCTTGTTGGCACTCCTGGGCCTCATCCCCAGCAAACCACAGCGAAGAAGATGTAAATAAGCTGTTGAAATGTTACAAATACTCAATAATACATAATATAAAGTATCTATCTATCCAAAAATAGTGCAAAAATAATATGTATTTCTGAGCTGTAATTCTGATTTTGCAGATTATTTTTCATTAAAAAGATATGATCATCTTCAAAAATATGATGCATTGTCAAATTAAAAATAATCCTCTCTTAAAAGTTTTTTAGTCTGTAACTAAGTCCTTAAAATAGAGTATTATTTGTTATCTGCCAGTGCAGCAAGAATATTTTACATGTTTTTTAGTACATAACAATTTGTTTCATGTATTTATATTTAAAACCATATTTAATTTTCATAATTCTAGTAAAGTGATATGTTTTTGCAGATTAAAATGCCCAGCAGTCCAAACATTAGTGCAATCATTTCCACACTTTCTATTGCTGCAGTGAAATGCTACTTACACATTAATGCATCAGTAATAAGAACCCTAAGAACAGATATCGCTACATGTGCATTAAGTAAGGGGTTAGGTAAAGTATCTAAATAACAATTGAGACTCTGTACCTACACAGAACCTTCATTAATGTCATTAGTAACACCTGTGTTTACCAACAATTTTAGGTCAAAATGGCTGCTGTAAAAAAAGGTATATTATTACATAGTTGCATAGTAGTGAATATATTCCTTTTGACCTGCTTGTTATGGCACACACAGACTAATGTCAAATCTTGTGTATTGGCATATCAGGCATATTACTGTGGAAATAAGCATTATTTGCTTTGGTGGGGATTTCATGAGACCCTGTAACGAGCCTCACTTTTTTTACCACGTGCAATAAGAGTCCAATTATCACGTGACGCAGGCAAGGGTATGGTTGTCATGGAAACGAGCTCCTCATCAAACAACGTCCGAGGCTTCACTGCAGCGAGCGACACAGCCAGCGTAAACAGCCAGCGAGGAGATATTTGACGTAATTTCATCTGCGGTGAGTACGAACCAGTCAGTCTGTTAGTGGTGTGAAGCACAGTGTGTCACAGGGCCATTTTGAAAAGAAAAAAGCCCACATAATAGCCAGCGGCGTTGGTTGCGGTATCTGTCGCCGTACGTGTCGCGGCATGCTAAACAAAATGTGACACGACTTCCGTTTAAGACCTTCAAACTAAAACCGTAATTCTCGCTGACAATGTATGGAAGCTAGCTATAGTGGGCTAGTGTTTGGGGCAGGGGGAGAAAATGAAAAAAACACAGAAAATAAATACCAAACACAACATAATTGGCAATACAGAATGCACTTTTTTCTGTCTGCTTTTATTTTAAAGGCAGATTCACCCTACTTCCGGCCTTTTACTGGATAACTTAACAGTGCAGCAGCCTCACTAGCATCTTCTATAACTAAAATAGCTGGAATACTAGTGTTGTGCACGTCTCACACAATTCAGTGTTATATATGAATGTTGTCACTAACGAACAGTAGCAACCATTGTTGTTTATGTGTTCACACATTATACTGTATGTAGATGCAGAAGCTAAATGAGGAATTTGCGACCTGACACACTGATCTAAATGCTGTTTGGTTTAAAGAACATGTGACCTTTGTAAAAATGCACACACACACTTTGACAGAGTGCTTGGTATTAGACTGAATTAGATTTAGATAACTCCTGTTACACATTCTCTCACAGGTTGTCATGCAGGATAACAGGAATGGAATGATGCCATTCCCACCACCCATCAGCAGAGACAGGGTTATCTGGGAATTCCCAAAGGTACAACCTGTTTTTGTTTTGCAGTTTAATCCAAGCCCAGGAAAAGACAAACAGTTTTTTACTGTGAGATCGCTCTGTGTTTCGAATGGTAGGAGCGGCAGGCTACAGGATGTTTTATTGGAAACGTGTGACTTCTACCTAACTTTCTTAGATAGTTAAATCAGTGTCAGATCACAGTACTCAGGGTAATTATAGGCTGTTACAGTCAGCTACCCAATCACAGACTCAGTCAACATCTGTCCTCTGAAACTTCTCCAGATAATACATTAAGGCACTTTATTTGGACAGGAATCTACTTTGGCTTCTAATGGGATCAGCTCACAGGTTCTCAGTGCAGCAGTCATTCCTTGTTTGCTTGAAAATCATGCTAGTGGTTTTGCCCAATACATGCCAGTACCTATGAGTACTATTACTATTAGTAGTCCTAAAATATCTTACATGAGTAGCCAGATGATCATCCAGCCTGTTAAAGATATAGCATGTATCATTTCCGAATTAAACTGTCCATAAACTCTAGAGCTATGTTGTATATGTAGTTGAGTTGTTTTCTTCCATTATCCCAAATGTTTCCAACAATGTTCAAGCTCAGAGAAATCATTTTATTCAGGTAACTGCGTTTCTCCACATGTCAATGGCGTCATAGCCCCTTTGTGCATGCGTCAGTGTTGTGTTTGTGCCAGGAGTTGTCATACATTGACTTTTTATCCAGTCTGACAAAAGATGCGATGCCCTGAATAAAATAGTGTGCATTATACACAATTTGGGATTAACTTGGGACGCATCATTTATTAACATTTTTGCATCAGTAAAAATTCAATTCAATTCAATTCCGCAATATGTCTACATCATAGTCGTTTCCTGCTGAACTTAACTGAACGGATATGTTGTGTAGAGAGAAAAATTGACATGATTTGAACTTTGAACTTTTTAACTGATATGGCAAAAAATGTTATAATAAAAGATCGTAGCGTCCCACTTAATCCCAAATTGTGTATAATGCACACTATTTATTCAAGCGGCATCGCATTCTTTTGTCAGACGGGGGATAAAAAGTCAATGTATGACAGACTCCTTGGCACAAACACAACAGACTGGACGCATGCACAAAAGGGGCTATGACGGCCATTGACATGTGGAGGAAACGCTTACCTGGGAATAAAATGATTTCTCTGAGGCTTGAACATTGTTGGAAAAATTTGCGGAAATGAAGAAAACACTTCAAACTACATAATACAACATAGCCTCTAGAGTTATTGGACAGGTTTAATTCGGAAATTGACTACAGTGCTTATTATCTTTAACAGGCTGTGGATGATCATCTGGTAC